AACAAAAGAAAAAGGGGATAGCTCTCAAAGCCACCAAGGAACCGGTGGAAGAGGCTTCAAGCGATGACGACAATGAATTCGGGCTCGTCATCAAGAAGTTCCACAAGTTCATGAAGAAGGAATTTGAGCGGAAGGGAAGGAAGCACGACGGTCCTCCCAAGTGCTACGGCTGTGGCGAGATTGGCCACATCAAGCCAAGTGTCCAAAGGCCAAACACGGCAAGGATAAGCCTGGCTTCAAGAAGCAAAGGGCCTACATCTCTTGGGGTGGCGATTCCGGCGACGAATCAACCGACCAAGAGGAGGACGAAGCTGCAAATCTCTGCCTCATGGCGCACGAAGATCAAAGCAACGACGTCCAAGAGGTATGTAATATTTCTTCCGACTCTTACACTTTTGAAGAAATGCAAGAAGCACTACATGAACTTTATGAGGAATTTGTTAGCGCTTCTAAAACAAATAAATCCCTGAAGAAACGACTTTCATTACTTGAAAACGATTTTGAAAAATTGGAAAAAGAAAATGAAACACTTAAACAAGAAAACAATTTTTTTGGAAAAAGAAGCGCTGACAAACCAGAAAGCTCATCGAGTGAATGTGGGTCTTGCAAAGCTTTAAAAGAGCAAGTCGCTAAACTTAAGAGCACGGTCAAGAAATTTAATACTCTTCATAAAGACTTAAATTTACTTCTTGACACTATGCATTTTTCTAAGGAAGGAATAGGTTTTGATAAAAATAAAGCTAAAGATAATGTTGAGCCACCACCTAGACAATCATCTAAGGTTCAACATAAGAAACCTAAAAATGAAGATAATAGAAAACCTAGTCAACCGAAGTACACTAGACAACCTAGACTAAAACCTAGGAATGAAAATGGTCATAGTAGACAACCTAAGAAAAATGATTTTGTGCATAAAAATGAATTTTCTCAAATAAGAAGAAATAATGCTAGAGCACCTAGAAGAGGCCAATTTCAAAATTTTCAAAAACCATCATTTCCACAAAATAGGAACAAAATGGATAGGCCATATTGCTCCCATTTGTTACACTAGGCATAGGCACCTATCACAAAATCAAGCACACTACCATTACACACCTAACACCCGAGGACCCAACGTAAATTGGGTACCTAAAACTCATTGATGTGTTTCATAGGTATGCTTGAAGGCATCAAGTGTACTTTGGTACCTTGATAGTGGATGCTCCAAACACATGACCGGGGATGCATCCAAGTTTCTCCAAATCAAACCCGCTAAAGGAGGAAACGTAGTTTTTGGAGACAATAGCAAGGGAAAAATTA